TGGTTTGAGATGTAGTCTTCCTAGTCTAAGTAAGCGAATAAGGGTTTGAAAATTTTGAAAGCGACGACTTACATATAAACTTTTTAGTTTTTTAATAAAAACTTAAAAAAACGGTCTTCCTTTCGGAATTATTAAATACACACTGAACAAAATTAATTTGTGAATTTAAGAACAATTTTGATGGTTATTTCTTGCCACAGATTATTGTAGTAAATTTACCATCCGTTCCAAAGCTGCCAAGGACATTTATTATAATGCGAGGCTAGCCAAAGCCGGTAATGTCGCTAAGGAGACTTGGGCTATTGTAAATGATTTAAGGAATAAAACTTCTTCGTCTGGCACAGTCTTTAATTCACCTTTAAATCAGAAGATTTAAACACTTACTTTGTTAATGTGGCTAAAAATTTAGTGAACACCATAACTCCTTCTCATGATTCACTTTCATATCTCCCTAAAGCAAATGAGAATTTACACAGTTTCTTCTTCACGCCCGTAGCATTAGATGAGCTCCGTAGTACAATTAATAGTATTAAAAACATATCCTCATCTGGGACTGATGGGCTTACTCTCAAAATGTTCTCTGAACTTCCTGAATGCACATTAAACCATCTTACTACTTTAATTAACGAGCCATTCCAAAAAGGAGTTTTTCCAAACTGCCTTAAGTCAGCAATAATTATTCCTCTGTATAAAGGAGGAGATAAAGATGAAGCTTCGAACTATCGCCCAATTACACTCCTGCCCACATTATCTAAGATCATTGAAAGATTGGTTAAAAAAAGGTTTCTATCTTTTCTCCTTAAATATAAAATACTTACTACACATCAATTTGGATTTCTAAGTAACATGTTCAACTATGTTCGACCTTTTTAATAATGTATACTCTAGCCTGAATAACTCTACAGCTACAATTTTCTGCGATTTCTCTAAGGCTTTCGATTGTGTAAATCATAATATCTTAATTAACAAATTGCAATACTATGGTTTTAGGGGAGTGCCGCTCGAATGGCTTAAGTCATATATTGGCAACAGAAGGCAGCTTGTAAGGATTGATACGTCTATGTCTTCTTGTAAGCCTATAGAATGTGGTGTCCCTCAGGGTTCAGTACTTGGCCCTATTTTGTTGCTGGTGTTTATCAACGACATTGCAAATCTAGACATTAGCGGTAAAATCTGCCTCTTTGCGGACGATACTAGTTTCCCTTGGAGCGGCCCAGATGTTACGACACTATATGATACTATATCCTGTGACTTACGCACCATTAAATCTTCGTGCGATTCTAATCTCCTATGCCTCAACCTATCAAAAACTAAAGTTTTGTCATATAAAAGTACTATACAACCTTTTGTACTTAATAACACCACTATTGACGTCGTGGACTCTGTGAAATTCTTAGGACTTGTTGTAGACAACTCGTTAAAATCGGACTTTCACATCGAAGCTCTATCAAAGAAACTAAGCGCTGCCTGTTTTGCGCTAAGATCAGTTTCTAAGGAACTTAACTTCTCAACCTCTAGAATAGCCTACTATGCCCTTTTTGAGTCACATTTTCGTTATGCCCTTCCATTCTGGGGTACTTGCTGCGCAACAAAATTTGATTGTATTTTCAGACTTCAAAAGAGAGCAGTTCGTTATTTATTGGGACTGAACAGTAGAAATCACTGCCAGAATTTCTTTAAATTTTCAAAATACTGACTCTTCCTTCTTTATTCATTTTTGAATCCGTTTGCTTAATGCGCAAGCACATATCTGCTATTCACAATCTTTATCTGCCAACCCTGAGCTCAGAACTAGTTAAGTTCAATACTGTACAATGCCAAAAAAATGTACAATCATCTGCCTTTGAATATCAAGTCGCTTTCATTCTTTCCCGCATTTCGCAAAGCTTTAAAATCATACTTACTGGAGAGAGCCCTATATACGGTAAACGACTTTTTTGTTGATGTTTAATTATAAACAATTTTGAATTTTAAAATTTTGATCATCTCACACACTGGTCAAAAGTCAAATATTTAATATTTTATAACTCTAAAATTATATCTATTTTGCAATTGTCCATGTATATTCTTTTTGTTATTTTAATGACTTAAATTTTTTTGAATTGTATTATTTGTATTGTGTATTTTTTGTTGTTTGTATTTTTTTGTACTTTTGTTTATTTTGTGAGTGCTTTGTCGATGAAGCCGTTTTGGCTTTTTGTACAATAAAGCGTTGTTCTTTAGTTTTACAACTCGTTTGTATAATCGTTGTATGGCTAATTTGTGGCATGTATGTAAATATGTTATATTATATCTTATTCATTATAAATTTATCTTTTAAAATCGCCAACTTCTTGTACTATTGCTATAGAGTAACAACAAATTTAAACATTTCATTATAGTAAGTTTACAATCACTTTTGTAAATTCACAAAGTGTTAGTAAATATTAATAAATTTAATAAAAGACCTGTTTATAACTATAATATTTATTATAAAGTTAATAAAAAAGTCACAAAACAGAACTTATGTTTGTAAGAGACCCATTGACATCTCTTTTTGTCTAGAAGAACCATACTGGAATTCTGAGCCTAACCAAAATAGGAACAAAATTGCCATTAGATACTAAATAAAAAAAACATGCAAGAAAAAGCTATCTAATCAAAACAGAGGGTTTACTAAATAAATTTTTTAAAAAAAATTATTCCTATCTTCAGATTCTTTAGCAGTATTCTCTTTAAGCCAATGTTTTGTAAAAATAGTGGGATAATTTTTCTTTTATATCGACTCTTAGTTATTTTTGATCATGGAGTTTAATTGCTGTACACCGGATTTCCGAAGGATACACTATTGTATTATTATATACTGCTATATTATTTAAATTTTATTTAAAAAATACATTAATTTTTACAGAAACTACATATCAACATAATTAATATAATATACTTACCCCTTACATTATAAAAACACTAATCACCCACGCTCTGAGATTTTCTCCTGAACTTTTCTTCGTTTTCCTCCTAACTACGTTTTCAATCGAATACTTAATGCGCATCAGCCTTACAAGTCACGTGACATAAAATAAACTTGTTAATAAACTTACAAACTTACATTTTTGTGAAACTATGTAAAAATATCTTATTTTTACAAGTTTCTTATTAAAAATATTATAATGTATCAATATTTTGTCCAGTGTACTGTCACACAATAAATATCTTTTTTAATTCCAATACGATCGAAAATAAAGGCGTCAAAGACGGCTTGGGAATGACAATCGATGATAATTTTGGCGAGGTCAAGCTTTAGACGTCATTACTTGACTTTTAATGGTGCTTACTGCCAGTTGACTTTAAGAAGGTTGTAATTTATTTTTACTTTGAGTAAATATGATTTTTAAATAATTTAATTCGTAGTTAATAAATAGTTAAACCTAAAAGAATTTTGGACTTCCATTGTCTTTATTTATTTTCCTTATATTGCGTTTCGGTCAGTATCGGTCAAGTATAATAATAATAATAATAAATTGCCTTTATTTTACAAAAAAAAGTACATAAGATGGTAACAAAATTGCAAGTCTGGCGTAGTCTAGCTACAATAGCTACTCAACTTAACCAGAACATGCAAACTTAATAATTAAATATAATGTTTTACAAATTGCCATAAAAAAGGTTTCAAATGTTCAATTTATTATTTACATTTTTATTATTATTTATTATTAGAAAAATAAATATTCCAACAAAATTAGGCTGCACTCTGGTGTACCACAGGGCTCTGTCTTGGGTCCTTTGCTGTTCCTTGTTTATACATCTGACATATTAAAATGTTTATTGCATTGTAAGGTACAAGCATTTGCAAGTATCACTGACCTTTATCAAGTGTGAGCTTTTGTTGACAAATAACGTCAATGGGCGATCAGAAATCAACTTTAGTTGCTGTTTTGTTTAAGATTTTCAAAATTTCTTGTCTTGAATTTCAAGACAAGGCAAGACTTTAATATGCAAGAAATTTCAAGAGTCTTGCAAGATTTCTTGAATTCAAGATTTATTGAAAGTTACAAATGATACATTTTTTTAAGTGATAATTGGGTCTATGCGCAAGTTATGCCGGGTTTATATAACATTTACATAGTCGTAATCACAATCATATTCATAATGATAAAAGTTAAACTATGTTGAAATATTGTAACTAAATGTTGTATAAACCCGGCATTAATATTGACCAGTGTTCATTTTTGTTTCTATCATAGTCAGTGTTTTAGAGTTGAGAATGAAATAAAATAAAGTCGAGGCAACAAACCGTATATTGGGTAATTGGTATTGTACAGAAAATTATATTGGAATAATGGTATTATAAAAAAAACTAACGGTAGTTGAAACTAACGGTGGGTTTGTGGAGCACGCTATTTGCGCTATTTGGTACTACTTTTCATGCACGAAATTGCTCCGCGAACAAAAAGTAGCATGGCCTTTTTTTTTGTAGTTAGTAATACTTAAATAACTTAACGCACAAGGGTAGGTACGAAATAATAACCCAAAACCCATAAGTCGAACTTAACCTTACTTATTCTTATTCAGGTTTTATTTGTTAATGGCTAGTTCGTTTGCGGTCCGTTAAGAATTTTGTTTGCTAAAATTAGCATCGTTGTTGTTTATTTTTACGTATTACATTTTGTATACGACGCTTTCTATGAAATAAAATATAGAAATATTATTATTATAGAATGTTAAATTTTTCAAGACAAGACATTTCAAGAGTATTGCAAAGCAAGATAGGACTTTGCTATTCAAGAAATCTGCAAGACAAGACTGAAATTTTCTTATCTTGAATTTCAAGACAAGACAAGACAAGAAATTGATTTTCTAGACAAGAATTCTTGTCTTATGCAACACTAATCTTGTCGCTTTCAACAAAAATCTTGTCCGTGTTCTGTCGCGGTTTTTGGTGGAAATACGCCCTTATAGTTTAACTTTTAGAACTTATGAGTTTTATAAGGCTAACCACTATCCAAATTTCTTGTTTGCAGAAACGGCCGTCACCATGGCTCCCATGGACACTCATCCCCTTGATCCTGGCGCTGACGAGCCCCGGCGGGGGCGGCACGAGCACGGGGGGCGGCGGCAACGCGCTCCACATCGGCGGCATCTTTCCCATCGCGGGCAAGGGCGGTTGGCAGGGCGGCCAGGCCTGCATGCCTGCCGCCCGCCTCGCTTTGGAAGACGTCAACGCCAGGAAGGACCTCTTGCCCGGGTATAAGCTGAAGCTGCACAGCAACGATAGCGAGGTGAGTACCTAGAGGTTCTTTAACTTTGTTGGAAAGTGGTAGACACGAAGGAATGCTGGTAAGATTGATATTGGAGATGGAGAACTACCCTCTAAAGAAAGGTAAAATATATGGAGTAGTTAGCGCGTAAAAAAATCGTATTGAGGCTAGCCTCTAATGTAAATTTAAACATTAAAAGCCGTTCGTTAAAAATATGTATCACTTTATCGGTCCGAGAGAATTTAGGCGACAGGCTGAAAATGCAGAATTGCTTTATGTTATTTTGGCTTGGTTCGAATTAACTCTGCTGGTTATTGCATTGTTTTGTCTCTAACTGATTTTTCTCTACATTTTTTATTCGAATTGCATGTTTAATTACTTCTTACTAATTATTGCGTATTAAGTAAATACTTGAAAAGTTGTCAGTGACTTGTTGAGATTGATATGATTTAGAGGGATCATGCATCATCAGAACTTCCCAGATAACATTTTTCGAATCATTTCTAGGGTACTTTAGGTATATTGTATACTTATAGTCTTAATATATTATATTATAATTTAAATTATTTCTTACCACATATCTCTACTATTAAAAGCAACGTCAATTATTTTTTCCACAAAATTAAATACAGAATACCATACAACAGGTATGGTAGGCTATTAAAATCGGCAAAAAAAGAGTTTTTATAATTTCATTCAAAATGAATTATTTGGGTCATAAGTGACCTAAATACAAAATATTTTCATGGTGTCTGTCCGTCTGTCCGTCTGTCCGTCTGTCCGTCTGTCCGTCTGTCCGTCTGTCCGTCTGTCCGTCTGTCCGTCTGCCCGTCTGCCCGTCTGTCCGTATGTCCGTATGTCCGTATGTCCGTCTGTCCGTCTGTCCGTCTGTCCGTCTGTCCGTCTGCCCGTCTGCCCGTCTGTCCGTATGTCCGTATGTCCGTATGTCCGTCTGTCCGTCTGTCCGTCTCTCCGTCTGTCCGTCTCTCCTCATGTCCCTCTGTCCCTCTGTCCCTCTGTCCCTCTGTCCCTCTGTCCCTCTGTCCCTCTGTCCCTCTGTCCCTCTGTCCCTCTGTCCCTCTGTCCCTCTGTCCCTCTGTCCCTCTGTCCCTCTGTCCCTCTGTCCCTCTGTCCCTCTGTCCCTCTGTCCCTCTGTCCCTCTGTCTCTCTGTTCGTCTGTGCGTCTGACCGTCTGTCCGTTTCTCTGTAACACGATAACTCAAAAACCGCTAAACCGATTTTAACCAAATTTGGCACAAAAATACGGTGGCACCCGAGAATCTGGCCATTAGTTTTTGGTGGGTGTGGGGTGTTGGTAAGGGGGTATGGGAGGGGGATTAAAATTTAATAAAAAATACTAAAGTAATAACTCCAAAATTAGTATCTAGCGAAACGCGGTTTTCAATTTAAGATTAGGAATAATATTTGCAACAAAATTTGTAATAACAACAAAATCAGTCAAAGTCGCAGTTTTTGAGATAAAAAAAATTGGAAAATTCCTTTACTTTGACTAAAAGAACTGCCTACCAACTTTTTATTAACATGCTATACGTGCCTCCCGGCGCCAATTTTTTTTTAGTCATTTCTTGTGGTATTGCATCAATTAGAATAACTCTAATATTTTCTAAAATTTTACTTGTTGTACTTTACCTTGAATTCAAGTTTACCTTTCCACTTTGCAGGTTAAAGCAAAAAAATACAAAACAATCGACCATTCTACTTAAGTGTTTTAGACTATCGGTAAACTGAAACGTGGGAAGGTATTATTAAAAAGTTTTAGAGTACCTATTTCCGAGCAGGAAGATAAACTAAAAGGTTGAAATCGTTATCGTTTCAATTTATAAAAGTATAAAAAGAGGAGGAAACAAAAAAAGAAGGGCCGGTAGGGTTTCCAGGTATTGGATTAAACACGAAGGGAAGGTTAGCGACCATTTGTTGCTTCTTATTTAGATATCTACGTTATACACACACAGAAATACAGAGATATTTGGTTTTCTTTTTGATCCTTTCTTTTTTGTTTTGGGCTGAAATCCTTTATATCATTGGTGTTGAAAAACCCTGCAGTAAATACGCATGTACGAGGTGTCCCATTTTTGTATATGGTATAACTAAAATATTCCTACACATTAAACTTTTATTTGTAATTAAAATATTTTACTTTTACACCACTGTTACACCTGAAAGTTAGATTAGGTTAGGTTAGGTTTGATCCCTCACTCGGAGGCCTTGGGCCCATTGCGAAACCCCTGTTATTGTTGTACCAAACCTTCCTCTCATTCTTTCTTTGCGTTAAAGCACTTCCAGCTCTTTGCAAAGTTCCCGATGTCGCTGATGTTGGCTTCTGCTGCTTCCTCGAGTCCCGCCAAAAAACCTTCCCCTAAAGTTTTAAAGCGTCGGTATTCCAGTGCCGGACAGTGGCACAGCAGGTGCTCTATGGTTTGTTCTTCCTCTCAGCATTCTCTGCAGTAGTCGTCGTTGGAAATCTTCCATTTTACGAGGTTTACCCCCGTGCTGCAGTTTTCACTAGGTTATTTTTGTGCTCTAGTAGCTGTTTTGTCTTTTTACTGTTACAACTGAACCTTTGAATATATATTTTTAAAATATCAAATCTGTAACACTGACCTACCACTCACAAAGAATGGAAAATCTATATCATATATTAAACAAAATGTTCAAAACACCTCCTGTTTTATTCTAAACACTGTTAGCAAAGTGTCCTGATTCTTCTCAAAGCGTTAAGGATTATAACGAAATGGGTTTATAAATATCGTCGTTTAAAGAAATTCTAATATTTTTAGAGTTGTGAGCGGGGGCTCAATCTTGCTCACGTAAATTATCTAAAGGAATAGATATCTGCTAAAATTTCCCATTTTGAACGAAATCCTTGAGAATTGCACGATTGCACGATGGATTGCACGATAATAGCGGTTGTTATGCGGACTGTTAAGTTTCCTTGATATAATTATCGTCATCATCATTATCATTCTCAGCTTATTCAACCATTTTATATTAATATTCCAATTATGGTGTGGCCTCCCTCACATATTTAGATACTCTCTGTATAGTTGGGTCTGTTATTGTATATTGTTGGCTATGCGGGCCTAAGGTTATCCCTGCTAATTTCCTAATATCATGGTCCCATCTCAGGTTTGGTTTTATTCTAGATCTCTTAATTTCTCGTGGGTACTTCTTGCCAGGTATCCTGCCCATTGCTACTTGAGCGATTTGATTCTGTGGATGGACATCTATTACCTGGTTTTTTTGTCGTGTCCATTCTGTTATTTTACGGTCATTTTTATTTTTTCCCAGCATATTTCGTTCTATTGAGCCTTGTGCGACCTGCAGTTTCCTTATGATGTCCGTTTTAAGTGTCCAGGTTTCGCATGCATAAGTCATGACTGGTAGTACACATTGGTTGAATGTTTTTTTCTTTAGATAAAGTGACATCTTTCAGTTTTGTGTTATTTATTAGAATGTCTTTTGTGTTTACTAGTTCGTTGTATATTTCTTTGGATTTTGCCAAATTCAGTTTGAGACCTACTTTATTGGTGGCTGTATTTAGTCGTTAATTTTTGTTTGTAGTTCTTCAGGACTATTGGCAATTAGCACTATGTCATCAGCGAATCTTAGATGTTTAATATATTTTCCATCTAAGAAAGCAAGAAGATTTTTTCTAGTGTTGCTGTAAACAGCTTTGGGGATGCTTCAATGCGTGATGCTCCAAATTTTCAAAAATACCCTATACACTATACGTTTAACTTTTTTTTTAACCTATACGTTTTACAAAAATGTAAGCCAGGTTTGTTATATCCAGGCTATCCTATCTTTACAAATAATGGAGGTACCGTATAATTTCAAACAAAATGGACACCTTTACAAATACATACTTTAGAAGAAAAATAATTTGGAACGTTATTAAAAACAATTTTCGTGACAATGGGTGAACGAAACGAAAACCTTTTTTTCGTGGCCATCGTCTGGCACTGCGATATTTCTCCTTCAGATTTCATCGGGGAAAGTCAATAAGTCTCCCTTCTTTTACGCTCTTTCGACTTTTCGGGGGTGGGGGACGTCCGTCCCGTCGGCAACGGGTTGGAGATAGAGAAATTCAATCATTCTTAATCGACCGAGGAATCGCTTTGATCCTTTCGTATTTCTCACCGTAATGGAAACCTATTACGTAACATTTTGGTCTATTTTTTTTATCTAATTATTTGTACATTTTAGGTAGCTCATTAGAAAAATATTTATCTTAATATCTTTCGCAATCCAAGTATGGAAATTTCCATAATATGGCAAAGACTTAGAAAAGGTATCAGTGCTAGCGTCCTCAGTGGACAACCTCACATTTGACTACACTCAAGACTGTCATAGTTGCTCTAATATAGGGATGGTATATTTTTCTAATATAGAGATGGCTTTTTTTAGTATTACCTCGTGGGTCACTAATGCCCATTTGCACTAGAGTTAATTTAAAAAGTTTAACCGAGAATTTTCACATAGAACTAAACATCTTTAAAATTAAATTGGCTTAACTGTTAAAAATGGGCGTGATTTGTCGTTTTTTTAACAAATCATAAACAGCCTGTAGCATTTTATTTAAATTACACATAATTTATATAAATGTATAAAAAATATGTATATTCGTACTTCGTACCTACCTTCCCTCGCCATATTGGTGGTAAAGGCTCAAACCGATAGAACTATCGGCGGTTGTTGGCATTTTGCCAATTTGTTTGAGAAAACCCTCTGAGCAGAGGTAAGACTTTTATTTTTAACGTAACGTTTCCTAATACTTTTTTTTTGACAGGGTTTTATTTTATGGTACGCATTTGGTTTAATGGTAGCATTTTCTGGTGCCATTTTGTTTTTTGTACCTGACATTTGGGCCACGTTTTGTCCCTACAATTCACGCCGGGAATAACGGAGGAATCTCCTGATTCCACAGCAGTTTAGGATTCTGTCTGTGTAGAGACGTTTTAATCACAATCCAGTTCCAGTAGCAGATCACCACAACCAGC